AAACAATCATCTCTCATCCCTTATCTCGCTCCATCTGCATGTCATGCGACTCGAACTCAGATCTTTTGCTTCCAATGGAAGAAGATAACTACTGAGTTATTTAAGTTATTGACCATATTTGAGGAAACTTAAACTGTAGTGTAATCAGTAAATTTCTGGAAAAACAGGAAAAAAAAAAAAAAAAACCCAGAGGTTCAAAAGGCTGTTTGAAACAATGTTGCAGCAAACTGATCTGAACATGTCAAGAAAAAGCTCATCTGTAATTGGCAAAATTTAAAACTATTGCATTATTGCCTTTCGCTGTTCTTTGGACCATTCATTTGTTTGCTTTTGTCATGTGAATTCTGAAAGACTGAAACTGTCAAACAAGAACTGTTCTTATTTCTGAATGAAATCATGTCTAGCTAGGATTAGAATTTATGGTTAACTTCCTCTTTAGTACCATGATACAGATTGCATAATTACCTTAATTCACTTTCGTTCAGAAAGTTTTAATCTCTCTCTCTCTCTCTTTTTTTTTTTTTTTTTTTTCTTTTAATCGTCAAGTTTTAATCTCTTATAAAATATATTCTTGTGTGCAGGGTGATCAAGCTTCTATAGTAGGTGGTGCAATAGGGTTTGTCAAGGAACTTGAGCATCTTTTGCAATCCCTTGAAACTCGAAAGCTCCAACTACTGCAACAAGTAAGAGTAGCAGCGGCAGCCGCAGCAGCCAATGAAGATACCGCAGCATACAAATTCCTGCCACCACAGATGGCGCAGTTCTTCTTGTATCCCCAGTACACCTGGTCTCAGATCCCTAACAAGTATACATCAAAAACTAAAGGAGCCATAGCCGATGTTGAGGTCACTTTGATTGAAACGCATGCTAATATCCGAATTCTGTCACGAAGAAGTCCCAGACAGTTGTCCAAACTGGTAGCCGGTTTTCAGTCACTTCACCTCTCCGTCCTCCACCTTAATGTCATCACTATGGATCCATTAGTTCTCTACTCTATCAGTGCCAAGGTAAAGAAATATTTCGGTACTCTTGCAATCTTTTTTTCCCCCCTAAAATTTATTATTATAATCATAAAACTTTAGACGTTAGTTTCCCAATCGAGACTGGCAAAAAAAAAATTAAAGAAAGTAAGAAATACCGGCCTATGCCGGGAATGACTTCATGCTCTTAATGAGGATCCTAAATATCCAACATGCACGGGTCTCATTAGCCAAATCACCTTAGATCAATGTTGTCAATTATTAGGATACGGGGTGCATGTTTTGCACCCCCTTTTTTAGGTGTTTTTCTAAGATTAGAAATAGATGCTACTAGTTTTGGTTTGGAAAAACCAAATTGATCTTGTTCACAACATTAAGGCCTTTTGAGTTTGAATGCTTTATTAGTGCTCAACAGGCCATTAGGCCTTTAATATCATTTCGCTGTTGGAAGGATGAGAAAAGAGGTCGGTCTTTTCCTAGTATTTGTGGTGTTCTGTTCCCCATATTCAGAACCACATGTCTTTGCTTATAATTCTTGAAAATCATACATTTTGAACATTCTGAATGCAGGTAGAAGAAGGATGCCACCTCATTTCAGTAGATGACATAGCAGGGGCAGTTCACCACATGCTCATAATAATTGACGAAGAATCTGCCATCTGCTGATCAATTGTGCCTCAGCTATCCTCAGGTTCACCAGGAAATCACCAAATTACCTTCCCCTTTTTCTTATTACTTGCGTTTTGTATGAAGCTTAATTTTGAGTGAATATGCGTATTTTTAGTTTCATTTTGGGGAAATGGTGCAGTATGAGTTTAAAATAGGGGAGTGTTTTAAATATCAACTGTTTTGTGGAAAATCTGAGAAAACGAATAAGATGTTGCTGGGCTTTTGGGGCCCATGGCTTCTGACAAGGATTTGCTCCTTAATGCAACTCGCTTATTTTTTGTGTTGGTTGAGGTCTCTCCCCCAGTCCCTACAAACCCCAACCCCTTTAATTTCTGGAAGTTTTACTGAATTCTTGCTCAAATCAAGCAGATGTTCCAAGTCTGAGAAGGAGGTGTTATATAGTCTTTTCACCATTAGACTTACTCAACCTTTTTTGGTTACCATGGTTTAATTCTTGAAGCGACTAAGATAGAGCAATTCTTTATAATTTTTTTAAATTTTTTCTGGAATATACTGAGTTCAGTTTTGGAGCCGTGTGGCTGCAAATATATATATAAATTTGTGCGATGAGCCGATGATGGATGAAATGAAAAAGAGGAGGTTGGAAAAGAATCGTTTATAACAAAAAGTAAACACTATTTTACAATTTTAACATTCCAATATCGACCATACATAAACAAGAATATTTTATCTTTCTAATTCTTTACTCCCCTTGATGTATGAATTTAAAATCTTCAATCTAAAATCCCTACAAAATTATATGCAATAAATTAAAGTTAGAAAAAAAATCCATTATGCAAACCATACTTTAGACACTAAGTCAAAGAGACATAACCTTACTAAAGATTCATTCTAGGGAACAATCTACTAGTTTGCGATGGATTGCCGACTTTAACAAGAAAAAAGAGTATTTGTATATAGTGACTGTACATTTGATATTCTTCTTACCACACATTAGTGAGTTTGAGACTTAATGAAATTTGGCTAAAAAAGAAATGCAATAAACAAACCAATAAAGTTAAGCAAACATGTCAAATCCCATTAGAGAGGGTATCTCCTACCAGCAATCATGGGAATATCAGAGAGTTAAATTGCCACAGTAAAGTTGTCATCAAGATAATTGGCATTGCTTACAATATTATCCTCAACATGCCTTGCCCAAACCTCATAAAAGGTCTATTTTTCTTTACTTCATTTAGAATTTGGAGAATCATTTGGTATCACCATAAAAATTTAATTAAAAAATGAAAAAAAAAATCAAAATAAAATAAAAAATGGGAATTCAAAACTTGAAAGTTAGCAATTTAAGGACCAAATTGTCAAAAAGAAAATAATTCTATTTGAATTTGGCTTGG